ACTAAACATAAACCAACATTTTCAGCATGTCATTGTTAACTAAACATAAACCAACATTTTCATCTATGAATGGGAAAGACAATGACCTCACACATATGATGCCTTCGATAGTTGTAATACGTACTTTTCAAGCTTACTACAAGAAGACAACTAGAATTAACAAATGTTTCTTCTTTCTTTTTTTTCAAAGTTTTAAAATACTTTTATTTACAATGTAGTCTATTACTATATTCGTTTAATATATGTACTTTCTATACACATCAATTTGCTTAAAATACCAATATATATATATATATAAAATATTTTGTTGCTTAAACTATGTGAGACATGTTGCTTTGTTCCTAGTGTGTTCTTGTTTTGTTGCACTCTATTTTCAATATATTCTGTTGAAACTTGCTGCTTTGTTCCTGATGTGTTCTTGTTTTGTTACATTCCGTTTTCGATATTCCGTCACCTATTGATTTGCCTCTAGTGTGCTCTTTATAGTCGTTTCCCTCTAATGGTGGTTAATCTGTCTAGCTCATTTGTATTTGTCTACGGACCTTTTAGCATTCTTTAGGGTACTTGGTCTCACATACCTTGCTGCGACTATCATTCCTAGTTCATTAGTTGTGTCCCTACTTTTGTGCATTTTAGTTTCGAACTACTTGCACTGTTTTTTAGTTCTCCGCTACTTCTGTGGTAGTTCGTGCTTAGTGTGTATAAGATTATAGTGGTTGTACCAAACAATGGCGGGGGAAGGTCATGTCCTCGGGAGGGTCCTCCGAGGAGATAGGGGGTTGGGGGGCAAGGGTGGTAAGGATGCCTCCAGGTTGAGAGTTGGGTCTTAGAACATAGGGACTTTGACGGGAAAGTCTATAGAGTTAGCGAAGATTCTCTATAGGAGGAAGATCAATATAGCTTGTCCCCNGGGCAAGAACAGGGTAAGTATTTTGGTTGATAGGGATCTCGGGAGCTAGTGGTGGAAGTTAGGAGGGTGAACAACAGGCTAATGGGCATTAAGCTAGTTGCCGGGGGGTTTTACTTTTGATTAGTACGAACGCACCTCAAGTGGGCTTGGACGAGGAGGTCAAAAGGCGTTTCTGGGAGGATTTAGACAAGGTTGTGCGTGGTATTCCGCACACTGAGAAGATTTTCATATGAGGGGATTTCATGGCCACATTAGGGGGGACGTCTGGGGGCTACAATGACGTGCATGGCGGCTTCGGTTTTGGAGTTAGAAACGGAGGTGGTACTTCACTGCTGAATTTTGCTAAGGCTTTTGATATAGTGATAACTAACTCTAGTTTCCCTAAGAAGGAGGAGCATTTGGTCACCTTTCAGAGTTCGATGGCCACAACCCAGATTGATTATCTACTCTTCATATTGATTATCTACTCTTCATTATCTACTCTTCAGGAAGTGGTCTGATAAAGGTCTGAAAAAGGTCTGTGCGCAGAATGCAAGGTCATCCCGAGTGAGAACCTTACATCTCAGCATAGGCTTCTGGTCATGGACTTAGAGATCATGAGGAAGCGAAGAAAGAGGGTTGTGTTTGGTCTACCTAGGATCAAGTGGGGAGATTTGACTAAAGACAGAGCACAAGAGTTAGGAGATAAGTTGCTGGCTATGAGAGCACGAGCATGGAAGAGTAGTGGGGACACAAGTGGTATGTGGACCGCGACTGCGAATTGCATTAGGGAGGCTGCTAAAGAAGTATTGGGGTCTCAAAGGGCTCATTTGGTGGCCGCAGAAGGGATTGGTGGTGGAGTACTGAGGTTCAGGGGAAAGTGGAAGCCAAGAAAGCGGCATATCTGAAGTTTCTGGAGAGCGTCGACGATGAGGTGAAGAGGACGAATAGGAAGCAGTATAAGATGGCCAAGAAGGAAGCGAAGTTAGCAGTTACTACTGCGGCCAGGACTGCCGCGTTTAAACGCCTATATGAAGAGGCAAAGGAGGGGATAAGAAGTTGTACATGCTAGCCAATGGACGAGAAAGGAAGGCCCGTGACCTGGACCAAGCGAAGTGCATCAAGGACGAGGAAGGCAGAGTGTTGTTGGATGAGGCACTTATTCGATGAAGATGTCGGACTTACTTCTATTAACTCTTGAACGAAAAGGGGGATAGGAGCATTGAGCTAGGTGACTTAGAACACTCTGTGAGTCGTCGGGACTTTGGGTATTGTAGGTATACATATAAGAGTCGAGGAAGTTGAGGGGGCTATACGTAAGATGAGCAGGAGTAGAGCGACTGGTCCAGATGAGATCCCGGTGGAATTTTGGAAGAGTGTAGGTAGGGCGGGCTTGGAGTGACTCACTGGGTTACTTAATGTCATTTTTTTCGTCGGACTTACTTCTATTAACTCTTGAACGAAAAGGGGGATAGGAGTATTAAGCTAGGTGACTTAGAACACTCTGTGAGTCGTCGGGACTTTGGGTATTGTAGGTATACATATAAGAGTCGAGGAAGTTGAGGGGGCTATACGTAAGATGAGCAGGAGTAGAGCGACCGGTCCAGATGAGATCCCGGTGGAATTTTGGAAGAGCGTAGGTAGGGCGGGCTTGGAGTGACTCACTGGGTTACTTAATGTCATTTTTAGGACGAAGCAGATGCCCGAAGAATGGAGATGGAGTACGATGGTCCCGCTGTATAAGAACAACGATGATATCCAAAGTTGCAACAACTACTAGGGCATCAAGTTACTAAGCCATACTATGAAAGTTTGGGAGAGGGTGGTGGAGCTGAGATGGAGGAGGATTGTGATTGTTTCTGAAAACCAGTTCGGATTTATGCTGGGACGTTCGACTACGGAAGCTATTCATCTTGTTAGGAGGTTGATAGAGCAGTATAGGGAGAGGAAGAGGGATTTACATATATCGACTTAGAGAAGGTTTACGATAAAGCGCCAAGGGAGATTCTGTGGAGATGTTTGGAGGCTAGAGGTGTTTATGTTGCATACATTAGGGCTATTAAAGACTCGAGTGAGGACCATGGGAGGGGACTCAGAACACTTCCGAGTTAAGATAGGGTTGCACCAAGGGTTAGCCCTCAGTCCATTTTTATTTGCCTTGGCGATCGACGCACTCACGTGCCACATACAAGGAGAGGTGCCGTGGTGCATGTTATTTGCAAATGACATTGTTCTGATTGACGAGACGCGAAGCAGTGTTAACGAGAAGTTAGAGATTTGGAGGCAGACCCAGGAATTTAAGAGTTTCAAGTTGAGCAGGACCAAGACAAAATACTTGGAGTGCAAGTTCAGTGGTGCGGACCAGGTAGTGAATGAAGACGTGAGGCTTGATTCGCAAGTCATCCCTGTGAGACACCGTTTTAAATACCTTGGGTCAATTATACAAGGGAATGGTGAAATCGACGATGATGCTACACACCGTATTGGGCCGGAGTGGATGAAATGAAGGCTTGTATCCGGTGTTTTGTGTGATAAGAACGTGCAACCAAAACTTAACGGTAAGTTCTATAGGGTGGTGGTCAGACCAACTATGTTGTATGAGGCGAAGTGTGGCCAGTCAAGAACTCCCAAAAAGACGAAGGTGGTTGAAATGAGGATGTTGAGATGATGTGCGGGCATACCAGGTTAAATAGAATTAGTCATGAAGTTATTCGGGACAAGGTGGACGGCGAGACTTAGATGGTTCCGGCATGTGAAGAGGAGATGCACAGATGAACCAGTGAGGAGGTGTGTCATGACCATGGATAAGAACGTGCGGAGGTTGAAAATAAACCTAAAGGGTTAGGATAGGTAGCCGAGCATTGTCCTTATCTGTAACAACAGTAGCTTTAGTACATGATTTAGTGTTATTTGTGTATTTTCGTATTCCTGGACTTCTGTGATTGTTGCTTTCGTTTCAACTTTCTGATTGCAGTACCTAGTGTTAGTTTTGTATTTTTGCTTCGGTTTTCTAATTGGTGTGCTTGTTGTTGCCCTTCCTTTTACCTTTCATAGCAGAGGGTCTACCGGAAACAGCCTCTCTCCCTTCTTGAAGGTAGGGGTAAAGTATGCGTACACACTACCCTCCCCAGACCCCACTTGTGGGATTACACTGGGTTTGTTATTGTTGTTGTTGTCACAGTCAAAGTCAAAGGTTTCTTGATGGCATGATCGGCTGCCTTCTCGTTGTAGTTGAGTGAACATTCCATTTGACAGCCTTGAGGCTTGTGGAGACCTTTGTAAGGTTCTCTGTAGGAATTTGCTTTTTTATCCTACTTTGAGCCAAAGTTTGGATGTCTTTAGTGGTAAGCTGTCTACTTTGATTTATCTACACCTCTGATTCTTCTTCTTTTTTATATTTGATTCATTGCTTCTTTGAGCATTGAACAAGGATTCAACTTCATATACTTGAATTTTGGGTTCATCTCTTTCAAGGATTCAATCCTCCTATCTTTCTATCTTCTAACTTAAAAGTCTTCCGCTATCCCTGCTCGCATCACAAGTTACCAAAAGAAAGCTAATTCTGACCTAAATTACCAAAAGGAAGCTATTTGTTTTCTGTAGATTTTGGCCATGGTTTAATTGTTCTTAGCATAAACTCTCAAGATTTCCGGTTAAAATAAAAAGAAACAGATTAGCATATTTCACCAAAAAAATTCTTCAGAAATTACCACAGATTAGCATCTTTCTCCATAAAAACGATTTTTTAGAAATACCACAACTTAGCCACGCATCTCGTAAAAAATTTAAACCTACTATTTATTTATTTTTAAGAAATGGAAATAGCCTTCAAATAGTAATCTACTATTTTTTTTTTAAGAAAAGGAAATAGCCTTCAAAATCGCAGTCAACAACTTTCTTGGCGGGGTCACTGACTAAGATAAGGAAGAGAATCTTGCCAGAAACCACCGAAACTTTCAAATGATCCACCCCCTCTATCACCCGAAAAGAACAGACAAACAGAGACAACAAAAGATAGGTAGTAGCATTTCTGCTTCAGTGTGCTTTAAACTCCAGTAAGATTCCAGATAGCAAATATGGTAAAATCCAGGGTTAAACAGAGACAACAAAAGATAGGTAGTAGCATTTCTGCTTCAGTGTGCTTTAAACTACAGTAAGATTCCAGATAGCAAATATGGTAAAATCCAGGGTTAAAGGCAGTACATACAACAGAAGTTACTCCCTTGAGTGCATCCTTCCATGAATCAGTTGAAAGTAGGTTTCCTATCAGCAGGAGAAAATGCATAGACGCCAATCAGAATCAATACAAAAGGAGAGCAAAAGTAGCTGCACAATGAGAATAGCCAAACCTTGATGCCAAATAATATTGTTAGCCCAAGAATCTTGTATGGATGACCTTCCTGTTCTACAAAACAAAACAACTACTACGCCTCATTCCCAAAAAACAAGTAGGGATCGTTTATATGAATCCTTATTTCTCCATTTAACCTCAACTCATGTCATCATCATATCAAATACAATAAAAGCGAATAATAATAATAATAATAATGATAGAAGTTCTCTAACAAGATTAATAACCCGTTTGGCCAAAGCTTTTCCAAAGCCAAAAGCACTTTTTTCAAAAAAAAAAGTATTTTTTTTTCAAAGTTGAAGTGTTTGGTCAAGCTTTTAAAAGAAAAAAAAAAGTGTTTTTGAGTAGAAGCAGACACAATTTTAGAGAAGCAGAAAAAAGTGGTTTCCCCCAAAAGCACATTTCTGAAAAGCATTTTGAGAAAAATACACTTAGAAGCACTTTTTAAAAGCTTGGCCAAATACTAATTGCTGCTCAGAAGTACTTTTGAAATTAATTAGCCAACATAAACTGCTTCTCACCAAAAGTACTTTTGAGAAAAAACACTTAGCAAAATAAGTTGATTTTAGAAGCTTGGCCATACATGCTATAAAACTTATTCACAACTAGTAGATATCATCTATATGGATCGTCTCCTCGATTGTGCTCTATCTATAGCTAAGTCTGCATTGATTCCAAGAGGTTGTAGGTCTTTCGAGTCTTTCCATGTGATTTTAGGTCTACCACGTCCCTTTAACACCTTCACTCACCATAGTTTCGCACCGACATGTCGACGCATCTGTAGGTCGACACATGACCTACAGATAGGAACCCTAATAAAAATCCGCCAACTAGAGAAGCAGCCAAGGGGACCTTAGAAGAATATGATAGATAATAGAAGACACAACCGGACACTCTTAGATTGCCCCACACACTTTGATTGAGTCCGAAACTATCTTAAGCACATTTATATTACATATAGCGGTCATGCACAATGAACTTCAAAAAAAATTAAAAAAAAATTCATGATATGCATCCGTTTTCAATGACATAAGGAAACAAAAAGGGGAAGGAAAAAGAACCTACAAAACCTAGTGCCTAATATTGAGAGGCATTATAGACAAAACTGTTTCCTCTAAATGATCATAAGCAACTTGCATTTGATGAATCTACCTTCTAAAGATTTGTTAGTGACTCAGAGAGATTGGAGTAGTGCAACGTACCAAGCTATATAATTTTATACTAGCAAGTGGAAGGATGCCAAACAAGTGGAGCAAACTTATTGAGCTATACAATGAAAACGTGGTAAATAATGACAATGCTTAGATTTAGAGCCAGAAACCAATTTAGATTTATGCTTGCTATAAGTATTGTTAAAGGCAAAAAGCTCTAACAAGCGCTTTAGGTCTATTTGGGCTTTAAGTGAAAAGCGACTTAAAGTATGGGCTTTAGTTAAAAAAGGCGCAATGAAGAAAATAAATTAAAATTTATATGTAATTCAAGAACAAAGTAACAAATTCATTCATATTGTTTCCCTTAGCAGCTAATACACTTATTTCTGATTATAGTTGTTGTTTAGTGCCTCTTGATTCAGGAGAGAACTCATAGGCAATGAGGCGCACGCGTTAGTGCCTTGCCTTACACTAAAACGCAACTAAAGCGAGGCAAAGCGCCCTCCTTGAGCTTTTTTGAGCTTCAGGGATTAAGCGCGCCTTAGATGAGTTTTTGGCAATACTACTTGCTATCTGATGCTATGATTCTTGCTAAAGATAAAAATTATAAGGAGCGGAAAATAGATCTAGACATGATATTCATTGACCTAGAGGAAAATATATGAAAGGGAATCAAAAGGAGGCTTTTGTTAGGATTCCATAAGAACTAAATTCATATCAAATATATGAATCTCATAAAAAGGGTAAGTATGAAGGTACAGCCACATTAGTGGTAGGATAAACAAAGAAATTCTTCTATTCGTTTACACCAGGGATTTGTTTTGAGCGCCTACATTGTTACTCTAGTTATGGATGAGCTATCTAACAATATACAAGATAGAGTCCCACAGTGTATACTATTTGCAGACAATATTATATTAGTCGAAACTAGCAAGGATGTCAAGCAAAACTTGAACTATAGAGAAGCACTCTAGAGAGTAGAGATTTTAGGAAAATTAGAAATAAAACTGAATACATACTATAAATTTTGGCAATATAAGTGAATGAAGATGAGGTGAGATTATACAGAATGACAGTACCTAAATGCAAACAATTCAGATATCTAGACTCATCTCACACTGCAAAGTTTTCATACTCTTCTTTTGTTGTTTGTTCATATTGCAACTTCTCATGTTCTTCAGTCTTTCTTAATACGTTTTCCTTTTCCTTATCTCTTTCATCTAGGTCTTTAAAGGGTAGGGAGATGCTTTAGATGCGTGGAAGCAGGGAGAAGGTAAACTAATCTGAACAATGTGAACTATGGGAAGGTGGGATGCCAATATGATTTTGTTTTCCCTTTTCCCTGTAAGGCAATATCCTTTACTCTAGTCAAAGAGCCAATCCTGCTCAACCAGCATGGGCAATGCGCAGTTCAGGTGTCTTCCCAGTTGGTAAAATAGCAGTTTCGGATGTTCAAGACGTAATGTGTCAAGTCATCTTAGATATGCAAATGCTCAATTGGAAAAGAAAGAGCCCATGGAAAACTCAATATAATATTCAAATGACAGGCTCACTAATAGTCTGTCAAATCACACTTTCACAGCTGGAGCTAACCAAAACAAAAGGGACAAACTCTGCGAAACCTAGAAGTATGCAACAAGACAGTTCTTAGAGAAATGCTCATGCTCCAGTGTAGAAGACATACATAACTAACTGACACAGCGGAAGTGAAGCAAAATACCTGCTAAGACTAGCAACTGTAAGACCACGATCCAGAGCTTCTTTGCAGACATGTGAGCCGACAAATCCATTTCCACCAAGCACAAGTAACTGAAGTGAAAGTTTAAAGAGTCACTTCAAATGAGCAAGTGCAAGCAATAACATATGACATCGGTATAGTCCTGATAAAACTTTAAAACGTCAACACCTTCTCTGTTGGGGGTGGAGGCATATTTACTGTTTCTGCTTCCTCAACTTTAAAGGAGTCATCTCTTTTATTGGACTCAGTCGCTTTCTCAACTTTAAAGGGCTCATCTGTTTTATTGGATTCCGATGACAAAAACCGAACATTTCTGGATGAGGCGACACTCCTGTTTAAAAAATTGTAAATCAGCAAAGCTAGAAAAACATATTGTCTCCCAATGATTGAAATTATACCTCATTTTTACAACAAAAGAAATTAACGGTTTCCCAGTAGAATTAAGAATAAAGAAACAATGAGAAAAGAAGTCAAATCACCATATGCACAATCCTCGAGGTGTAAAGATAGTCTACTGATATCTAAACAAAAATAATATCAAGACCAGTGAAAATATTAAAACAGAAGTTCAAGGAATAATATGGAGGTAAAGGGATACTCAGAATTGTATCTGCAACAGAAATAAATTGTTTCCGATGTTGTAGTCTAATTTATCAATAAATAACTTGGAAACTCAAGAACATGTCCCATATTTCAACTACACCTTCAATATTGTGGTGTCTTTTTTTATTGTTAATAGCATTTGTGTTATCTTGCAGGAAAAATATCGCTTCAGCTGTGCATATAATGCACAAATGGAATTCTTTTTTTTTAAACTTCCAAAACCAATGCATTTAATTACCAATAAGAGAATCTACAGGGGAATCTACCAAATGCTCAGGCGATATATACGAATGTTTTAGCACATTTGCTTAATATTTGCTCATACAGTAATCTTCCTTCCATCTTTTTAGATTTAAAACCTCTTATCAGGCAAAATATTTGTTAACTCAATTAAAATCCTGGAGATCAGCCCAAGACGCATTATATTTGAAAATTCAAAGTCCTTATGATGTATTACAGCCACTGTTACACATTCCCATATTTTTCATTTTGCCTCAGAAATACTAACGATCTGACTTTGCAAGAAACTAACAACAGGAGAACAAAGAAAAGAACATTGCAAACTAACTCTAGGAGAATATTGGGGTCGTTTGGGTTACAAGGATAAGGGATTACAACCCGGGGAAAAATGTTACTTTTATCTTATGTTCAGTAGAATTCTTTTAATTCCGGGATTGCTCCTGGGATTGTTTATACCATAATTGTGGTATTACTTTTATACCGCACTCTATGTGGGATTACAATCCCGGGATTATATCACGGGAAAAAAACAACAAAATGACACATTGCCATTCTCCCAAGCTTTTCTCTCAAAGTCTTTTAAGAAAGTCAAGGTAAAATTAGAAATAGAGGTTTATCCAAGTTTATCTAGTTTACATCAAACAATGTTTTATATGATATCCTGTATACCTCATTTTTAGTCCAATGAACTAAACATCTGCCAAGTGTCTACCAAATAATGGCATCATTATTTTATCCCACACTATAGTCTCGCATTATAATCCAAGTATAACTTGTTCACAAATCAAACGACCCCTAAAGAAATTGTTCTTTGCTTGATAAAAAAGACATAATAACAAATTGTCCAAACGAAGACTTGCATCTTCAATTAATCTAACTAAAGAATAAGAAACAAATGTCAATAAATATAACGATCATCATTTCCCATACGCTCGAACAGAAATCCCAAATTGAACACATTAAGAATAGCACAGAACAAAATCCACAATTTCACAATACACATAAACAATTAATAATGCAGAAAATTAACAAAACAGCCGAGAAATTTAGCTTCTGATTAGTGTAATAAAATAAACTTCACATTCGACCAATTCAAACAGATGAAATGTAAAATTAGGGCTAAAAATAGCTCACGAGAATCTGGAGAGAGAAAATCGAGCTTGGATTAAACGTGACATGATCCGTTCACCTTTCGTTTGAATTGCTAAGCGCTGCGAATTGTTTCTGTACTGCTGCTGCTGCTATGTATATTTAAAGGTTAGAGGGAGAGAATTACGTGGACGGTTTATGTAACGGCACGCAAGTAGAACATGTGGCTTTATATGTGCCGAAGCCGACTTTTGAGTTTCTTTTTCACTAGGGAGTTATTACCGCGGATAATTTCATAATACAAAGATAAAACAGTATTTATTACTCCACCACAAGCCTTGAACTAAATTTTAAGGTTGGAGCCAATTTATTCGCTAAAAGTATGAGTTCATAACCAAAACTATCCTTTATGTCCGGAGATAAAGTCATTTTCATCATTTATATATACAGGTGAGCATATATCTTTCTTCAAAGTTGTAAAAGTTGAGCAGATTTAGTCCACTTAACGGAAGGACACTGTAATAATCCAATCGGTCATTTTACTTTTTAGATGTTCGTTCCTCTAATTAAGACTCCACGTATGTGTCTTTACTGTTTTATGACTTGCGAGGATGGTAGATTCGTGTTTGAAAGGGTTCAGGTTGAAATTGGAACACTTAGTTCCTTAATAGTGGCCCATAATGGCCAAGTTTGATTTGAGTCAACGTTTTGAGTAAACGACCTCGGAACCGGGATTTGACGGTCCCAATAGATTTGTATGGTGATTTTGGACTTGGGCGTGTGTTCGGTGACCCGGGAGCGTTTCGGCGCTTAATGATGAAAGTTGGCGCATTGAAGGATTTCAAGTTCTTTAACTTTGGTTTGGAGTAGGTTTTGGTGTTATCGAGGTTCGTTTAGGATTCCGAGATTGGAAATAGTTTTGTATGGTGATTTATGACTTGTACGCAAAATTTGGCGTCATTCCGAGTTGATTTGGTAGGAATCCGACATGCGGACGTGTTTCTAGAGGATCTTGAGTTTCATGATTGAATTCATGCGTTTTGGCATCTGATTCGTGATTCTAGATGTTATTTCGATGTTTTGATCATGCGAGCGATTTCGTATGAAGTTTCTAGACTTGTGTGGATGTTTGGTGTGGAGTCCCGGGGGCTTGGGTGAGTTTCGAGCGCGTTTGGAGTGTTGAAGGAACTTTAGTTTTCTAGTTTTGGTCTGGTGCTGCAGGTCTCGCAAATGCGAGGTTTTACTCGCATTTGCGAACCTCACATTTGCGAGGTTGGGGAAAACACTGAGGTCTTTGCATTTGCGAATATTCCTGCCGCTTTTGCGAGCTGCCCATCTTCGCATTGTAAATTTTTTGGTCGCAATTGCAACCTTGACAGAGATGGCCAGTCTTCACATTTGCGATGCTTTTGTCACATTTGCGACCATCGCATTTACGTTGCGACATCTGCGACTAGTACAAGGGCTTTTTATTACGGGACTTAGCTTCATTTCCCTCATTTTCTACTTGGTCTTAGGCGATTTTGAGAGCATTTTGTGGGGGAATTTCATCAATATCAAGAGGTAAACAATCCCGATCAGTTCTATAGCTAAACACGAGAATTACGGGTAGATTAAATATAGAAAAATTGTGAAATTAGTGGGATTTTGTGAAGAAACTAGGTTGATCATGGTTTTGGTGGTGGAAATTGAAATAAATTATATATTTGAGTTCGGGGAGGTTATGGGTAACTTTTATATTAAAAAAAAATTCGGAATTCAGGCACGTGGGCCGGGGATGAATTTTAGGAATCTTCCAAATTGAGTTGGATAATTACTCTAATAGCTAAATTATGAACTTTTGAGTATATATTGATTAATTTATATAATATTTGCCTAGTTTTGGATTGTTCGGCACTGACTTGAGGCTTTTAAAGTGATTTGGGGATCGAAAAGTGAACTTTGGAACGAGGTAAGCCTCTTGCCTAATCTTGTAAGAGGAAATTTACCCCATAGGTGTTCTAAATTACTATTTGCTACTAATTGTGAGTGCTACGTACACACGAAGTGACGAGGGTCCGTGCGTAGCTACAAATCATGCTTATGTTCGGGTAGTTTTAGGACTCTATGATGTAATACTTATATTAATTGTACTCTACTTTTTAATTTAAGTGCTTAAATTATATTGAAACTTGATGAAGGATTCATAAAGACCGAATTTCATTTACTTTGAGTTTATTTCATTTACTTTGAGTTTTGGCGGGTTACTTGACCGTTGGTAGAAATTGTGCCTCCTTGTGTATTAGTCTTGTAGTAGCTGTTATATTGGAGTTCGTAGAGTATTCTCTCTTCTTGTGGAGCGGGCCAAACGCCTCGGCAGTATAATAGATGCATCTATAATTTGCGTCGGTCGACCCTCGGCAGTGTATATATTATTCTGGGTATGACCTCGGCATAATGCTCGAAGTCCGATTACACTTTATTATTTACATGACTTAAGACTTTATAATTTACTTGATGGCTCATGTTGGTTAAAGTTACTATATGTTAATTGGAGATCTTAAATTGACATCTAGTTAAAAGATCATTTATTTATTGTTCATTACTGCGTTATTACTATTGATGTATTCCATGCCTATTTAGAATTTCTGTACTTTATTTATTGGCCCATAGTAAGTGTCGATGTCGATTCCTCGTCACTATTTCTTCGAGGTTCGACTAGATACTTACTGGATACATGTTGTTTATGTACTCACGCTACACTTTTGCACTAACCATGCAGGATCTGAGGCAGGTGCATCTGGTAGTCATTCAGGCGCACACCCCCGCTACCCCGAGGCATAGTGGTGAGCTTCTCTCTGTGCCCATTCTGCAGCGCATACAGCCTCTCTTCTGTATTTATTTTCTGTCTATATTATTCCAGACAGTAGTATAAGAGGTTTTGTATATTCTACTAGTTGCTCATATACTTGTGACACCGCGTTTTGGGAATATTCTAGTAGACACTTTATGGTTTTGAGTATTAAATTCACTGTATTTACTCTTTCGTTAGTTTATGCTTTACTTTTCTATAAATTTTTACTAATCATTCTCTTAATAAATAAAATCAAATACTTTGAAATTATTTTAAAAATAATTTCATGACTAATCCATCGTTGCATTGCCTAGTGGCGACGTTGGACGTCATCACGGCCTATAGGAGAAATTGGGTCGTGACAGCTTGGTGTCAGAGCACTAGGTTCACGTAGGTCTCACAAGTCATGATCAGGCCTACTAGAGTCTTGGGATTGGTGTGGAGACGTCCGTACTTATCTTCGAGAGGCTATAGAGTGGTAGGAAACTTCTCTTTCTTCATCTCCTATCGTGCAATTAATGTTGTGCTAAGTATCTTTCTATTATTCTCTCACGGATGATGAGAACGTGTGCGGCAGATGTACCCAACCGTGGAAGAGCTACTCCCTATGTTGCTAGAGGCCGAGGGAGGGCTCCAGCTTCTGCCAGAAGACAAGGGCATCCTAGAGTTGCTCCAGTTGTGCCACCAGTTGATCCAGTGGAGGATCATGTTATTGATGAGCAGGGCGAGGTACCTGCAGTTGAGCCTGCCCCAGCATCTTTCATGTTCACACCATTCCAAGAGGTCATAGGCTATATGCTGCGATTCACGGACTCTATGACGCAGGCTAGTTTATTTCTAGTGGACCCAGTCATATCTCAGGCGAGAGGGAGAGCAAAGACCCCTACCGCTCAGGCTCCAGGGCATGCTCCTACCGTATATCAGACCTCAGGTTCACTACCCGTGGATGGGGCTCGGCCAGTTGCAGTGGCTATACCAGAGCCTAGACCAGCCGCGACAGGCGAGCTACAAAAGCTATTGGATAGATGGACCAGGTTACATCCTTCTGCCTTTGGCAATGAGCTACATGAGGACTCCCAAGACTTTATTGATCATTGCAGGGACAGATAGCACAACATGAGAGTATTAGAGTCCCACAGGGTGGATTTTACGACCTTTTAGCTGAAGGGCAGGGCCCGTAGATGGTGGCAGTCCTATCTTCTCAGCAGACCAGTATGTTCTCCTCCTTTGACTTGGACCAGTTCACATGTCTCTTTCTGGAGAGATATATCCCACCCTCTTAGAGAGAAGAGTTACGGGGTCAGTTCGAGCGGCTCTAGCAGAGACAAGCGGTCTCGATATTCTGGAGGGTTCAGTGGTGCTCCGTCTGGGGGCAAAGGTCAGTTTGTGAGGTGCCAGTCTAGCAGGCCCACGTATCTAGCACCGCCGCCTTCTCGGGATTGTCACGACCCAAACCGATGGGCCGCGACGGGTGACTGAATCCTACATGTCAAACACCCCTAGCATGTGTCTAAGATATGAACCTGAATAACATTTGCTGTTACGAAAATAACACACATGAAGGAGACCTGCCAACAAGGCATATATACGTATACATGCAGAATATAGTGGACGAGCCAGCAAGGCTGCTATAGACAACTATACATCCAAAACCGAAAGCTGACAAGGTCACATACAACCCAATTAGACATACTGCCTACAAACCTCTAATAGAAACATAACTGTACAAAGACGAGACTGATATATATATACACAAACGTATCATACCAAAATCAAAAGCAACTCCAGATCAAGTGGTGCACGCCAACTCTCGCTGATCAGGGATCCTAAGAAGGGGGACCGTCAGCTTGCCTACCTGCACCTGCGGGCATGAAGCACAGGTCCCGTAAAATAGGGCGTCAGTACGAAAAATATACTGAGTATGTAAGGCATGAAAATTAGTACGTAAAAGACATAGATGAACCATGGAATAAAGAAACACATCTTTAAATCTGAATGACTTTGTAAATTTTGAAACGTTTATAATATCATGCACGTGCGTATAAATGTTGTGTCATGTATAGGTATGGGTGTACATAATATCATCAAGCCACTGAGGGCATCCCATCATATCGTCTCGGCCACTGTGGGCAACATCATCAACATATACCAGCTGATCAGGTGGTGGTGCATGTATAACGTCGTAACCTTTTCCCATATCCCATATACATATATTTACATATATACGTGTATATAATGCCAACTGGTCATGGGTCAATGCACATGTATAAATGGGTGAAATGCATGAAAAATACGTAATAATCTCAATATTCTTTCCGGATAAACCTTTTCAACTGCGTATTATTCTGAGACCCATGAACAGAAAATAATAATT